TATTTTTCAAATTTAGGTGCCGCCCATCTCACAAAAAGTTAAAAACACATCCTGAAAGTTTGTCCTCTGCTGCCCCCCAAGGATGCCAGTGGGGGGCAGCAGAGAAGGGAGGCTGAGCAAGGTTCTCTTGAGTAATACGCTCACCCTCGAAAACAGATCGCACAGAAACCCCCCCCCCGCGATCGATCGTGCGGACCTGGGAAGTGCACCTTCTGGGTGGGAGCCACGCAAGCGCCGTGCGCAGCCTCGGCTGCAGAGCACAAGATCTCGCCCGGAAGTTCCCTGGGGACTAGCACCTAGTCCTTGCGGCCTTCACGCCCCCCCCAATCAATTGCAGGGTTCAGGGAAAAGAAACAGCCCAGACTTCTCCCAGCTAGCACCCTCCAGGTCGGATGGACAACAACTCCTGGACTGGCAGCCAGGGCTCTGGGGGACGTAATCCAACGTGCCCAGAGGGCTGCCAGGTGGAAGTGGCGGAGCAAAGCTCCCTGTCCGCAGTGGGGCCGCAGGGGGCAGCCAAAGGGGCAGGGGGGAAGGGGCGCGCATCTGCCGGTACCTCTCCCGCACGAAGTCCGCCAGCTCCTTGGCCGAGATCTGCCCGTGCTTCATGTTGTGATAAAGGACATCGAAGCCCTGGTTCTTCTCTCCCTGTGGGGGGACCGAGACAAGAGTGTGACGGAGCACGCCTGATCGGGAGGGGGAGGGGTCTTCTCAGCCCCTCCCAGTGCCGCCACCCCCAGGCTCCTCCCCACGTTGAGCCCCCCACCCGCTTGCAGACGACTCCCCAGGCCCGGGGTGCAGGAGGCCAAGCCCGATGGCAGGGAACGCCCCAGTGGGTAAAGGCCAGGCTGCTTCTTGACCCAGCTTTGCTGGACTACAGGCCCCCCTTCCCCAGCTGTTAGCCAAGAGGGGAGGCACAGTTCTGGGGTGGGGGCTCTCCCTCCCCACCAAGGTTTTCCAGAGGGAGCCCGAGAGCTGCACTCCAAGTGGGCTCTGCTGCTCTTCGGGGGCTGAAAGGACCCCCCGGGACCATCGCAATATGCACCCTGATGCCCCACTGCATCAGGGATGCCCGGACGGAAAGAGAGGCTGAACGGGGAGGCAGGAGGGGCCGAGTGAGCTGACATCTTGTGGGCATTCAGGTCCCTTGCCCAAGTGAGCTGGGCAGGGAGCTGCTCACCACAGGCGCACGGGGAGGCCTGCCCCCCCTTTGGCCCTCCCTCCCCCCGCCCCAGAGCACAGGGCTATGCCCAGCAGCTGGCCTGTGGCCTCCCATGCCAGCCAGCGCCAGCCGCCGAGCAAACAAGTGTCACTGCGGTGCCACCCTGAGAGGGAAAAGGGCGGGGAGCCCACCTCGGCACCAGCTGGATGCCCAGGGACGGCCAGGCAGGCACAGCGAGCTCCCCGCCTCCCAGAGAACTTTCAGGGCTGAAGTCTCAAACTGGGCAGTCCACAAAAAATGGTTTCGCCAGCTACAAACGGAGGCCATCCACTGTGACAGAGAGGGGGGAGCAGGTCCTTTCTGCTTGCGCCAGGACCGGAATGAGCTTTCTGGATTCTTGTGGAGTTTCATTTAGGAAGCGGAGAGGAATTCCCAAACTGGAGATAAGCACTGATTAAATTCCCCAAGCCCAGGGAAAATGGGAGCGCCTTTTCGGCTTCCAATACTGAGAAACATGGACATTTCCCCAGGGCAGCCTGGACGCTCTCTGCAACTGGGAGGGCTCAGGTTCTGCCCCCTCCACCACCGAGGGGCACCTGCTGGTTTGCACACCAGAGAATCGCCCCCACCCCAGCCTGGAGCAGGAGGCAGGATAGCTGCACGGAGGTTTTCAGGGCTGGGCACCGCAAGGAAGCGCGTTGCCCCCACAGCCGGTGGCTGTGCAGCCGGCGGTCACCGAAAGCTGGGGGCTCAGCCTGGCACCCTCCGACGCGGGGGGCTCAGGCCCAGGGCCACGGAAGCATGCGAGCGGCAGCCCGCTCGCCAACCACAGTCCACATCCCACTCCGGAGCCGGGCCTCGCCCATCTCTCCCAGGCCTGCTTCCCCCGCTCCTTCGGTCTTCTCTCCCAGGCTCGACCCCTTTGCGGTGGCAAGGACCCCAGGGACGTGCATCAGCATGCCAGTCGGCCCACACTGCTCTGCTCAGTGGCCCTCCGGTGGCGCATTTTCCGTCCGGCCTCCGGATCACCTGAGCTGCCTTCCTCGGACACCCTCCGGTCTATCAGCCCCCTTCCTCAAACGGGGGTCCGACCAGCGCAGAGGTAAAATGCACCCGCCACGCCTGCCTCTGATTTTCCCTCCCCAAATGGAGGACGTGGCGTCTCTCCCTGGAGAAGTCCCTCTTGCCGACCTCTGCCGGTCCTCCTGCCTCTACACCCTTTCTCTGGGTGGTCTCCATGTTTCCTTTTCTAAAAAGACCCAGGCTGGCCACAGCACTTCCTTGCAAATGGTTTTCTGCTCATCAGTGAGAACTAGAAACTTGCTTGAGGGCCCTGCACGAGGCTTGGCAGGAAACAGGATGGGGGAAGAGCTTCTGTGCTGACGCGGCCTTGGGGCTCCGCCACCGCTTTGAAGAGAATGTCTCTCCCAGGAAGTGGTCCCGGTACCCCAGGCAGTGGAGGGTCCCTCCCTGGCTCAGGACCACCCACCGTTGCTCTCCTGTGCCTGGAGGCGGGCTGGTCGGGTTGGACGCCAGCTGCCCGGAGCACACCAGACCGCTCCGCCGTGGCAGCAGGAGGGTTCCCTTTCCCCTCAAGAGCCTGCCTGGAAGGGTCTTTCTGGGCAGTGCTGAGCAGATCCACAAAGAGCGCTCGCAGCGCTGCCAAAGGTCGGGAAAGCAGCACGGCCCGGTCCCCTCCGGCCAGCAACGGCCCGAGCAATCCGGAGTCCGCGCCAGTCGCAACGCTTCAAGCCCGAATTTGCTGAAGCGCAGCAGGACAGCCTCGCCAGGGGCTCTGGCTCCTGCTGGGGCATGTGCCGCTGACTCCCAATTGCCCCCCCCAGCTTGTTTTTCCACCCCTCTTCCTCAGATGGGTCTCTGGCTCGCTGGGTTCAGCTGCACCTGATCCTTGGCACTGCCAGCATGTGGCACCAGCTGTTGCCAGGCCAGATATTTGTCCAATATTCTTTGCTAAAGTAGAAGTGAGGAGAGGGAGGAGAGCAGAGGGCCTGCCCCTTTGCACCCTTAAGCACCAGAGCTAAAGATACAACTTGCTGAAACGGAGAGGTTATCGTGGGAACGGCCCTTCGTTGCAGGCAGGGACCACAGGCGGGGGGATGGCAGAAATGCCACCCAAACCGAGAAAAGATGCTCCTTACCCAGAAGTGCTCTGCGAAGTAAGACATGTTGGGTGCAGGACGAACCGGCCTCCTTTCAGCTCTCGGAAACCTGGGAGAGGAAGCGCTCAGCATCAGGCCGGTGCCTCTCAAAGGAGAAGGCCCAAAAGCACTCTGGGGGCCCCCGGGCTCCCAAGCGAACCAGCTGGGCCGGCTTGGCCAGGGAGACCAGCCCGGCCTGCTCCTGTGGCGCTGGACAGATCACACCGGGGCCTCCCTGCCCTCATCGGCCAGAGGCTGGGCTTTGGGGCGGATGGGGCTGCTTCCTGGATGCTTCCAAGCGGCCCCTGGATGAAGGAAGAGGAGGGGCTGCTGCAGGCAGAGGGTCCAGAAGAAGCTCCTCTGCATCAAGGGGGGAGGGTGCCTGATCTCCCCCCAAACACAACCACAGCTCTGCCCCTTCCCCTTCTCAGCCTGCAGCTTGCACACCCCCTGCTTCCATTCTGGCTCCTCCTGCGGCCTCTTGCGGGCCCCCTGCTCCTAGGCCTGCCTCAGGGCCTCCAGGGGGCCCTCGCCTTCTGGGGGCTTCTGGTGGTCTGCTATCGGCGGCTGGGGTGAAGCATCTGGAGGGTGCGGGGGAGCCTGGCACAGCACCCTGCCCCAAAGCCAGGAGCTCCACGTTCCACTTCCTGCCACAGGAAAGATGGC